GGACGCTGAGGCAGCGAGCAGAACCCAGAACCTGCGCCTGAGGAGCGGCTGGTGGTGGTGTCCAGAGGTGGCGGAGGCCCGGAGCCCCGAGCTCCGCTGGATGGGGATGTCGCCGGTCCTCCTGTCCTCCGGTCCCCTGGCCCGGCTCGCACCCTCAGTCTTGGCCGGCGCTGAACCCCAGCTCTCGGGATGGCTTCCGAGCCGGGCCCACTCGGGTCCCCAGGCCTTGGGGTTCTCCCCACGCTGCGCCCCGACTCAGGCCCTGGTGCCAGGGTGGAACCGAGACAGGATGGGGTGAGCCGGTGGATGAGGGCCCGGCCTTCCGGGATGTGGTCCCTGAGTGGCCGCGTCGGTGGCTGTCGTCGTGGATGACACCCCAGTGACAACGGCTGAAGGAGAAATCTTTGCGGCGAAACCTTCCGCGGGGAAGGTCGGGGAGTAGATCCAGGGCTGGACTCGAAACACCAGGACCTGCGGGCAGCGGGGACCCCAGAGGTTGGGCCCGAGGGAGGGGCGCTGAGGTCCAGGCCACTCAGGAGCAGGCTCCTCGGGCTGAGGCCAGACCCCCGCCTTAGGGACCCCGCTCGCCCATGTCTGCTCTGACCGTGTGACCTCGCGGGGCCCGCGGGCTGCCAGGTGAGGACGCCCCAAGTCCCCGCAGATGCCCCTGCAGTGCCCGGCCTGACTCGAGGGCTGTGAGGGAGGAGCCTCTTCTCTCTGAAGCACCGCACTGACAGCCACACGCAGCGGCCGGGGCCTGGAGCCCCCTGCCTGATTTAGGACCTGGCCTGCCTGAGGATCCTACACAGCGCGGGCCTGAAACCAGTAGGGGTTTCAGCTGTGGCTCAGGTCAGCCGTGGCCCTTCTGGGGGTCCTGGGAGGAGCTGTCCCTTCTCGCCCTGTCGCGGTCAGCTTGTGGCTGGCTGCGCTGTGGCCTCGTCCGTCTGTCCCCACATTCTCCGCTGAGCTGTCTTTTTTCTCTTGAGGCGCTGGGGATGGAGCCCAGGGCCTCACTAGGCTGGGCCAGTGCTCACCACCCTGGCCCCAGCCCGGCTGAGTCTCCCATGGGTGGGAAGAACAGAGCACAGCGAAGCCCCAAGAACAGTTTATTGGGGTGCAGGCAGCTCTCAGGACAGCGGTGACTCTGGGGTTGGGGGGACTAGCACCAACCTGGGCAGGTAGGCAGTCATCCGGTCAGCACTGGGGCTGCCAGGACCTGGTGCCACAGCTCCTCCGACCGCTCTTGCATCGCTGCCCATCCAAGGTAGGGGCCAGGGTCACCTGCAGGTGGGACACACGGACCCCCGTCACCAGGCACTCCCCTCTGAACTGGCCCAGCCTGCCAGCTCCTGCTTTTCCAGCATTCAAGGGCCCTGCCAGCCTTGTCCCTAACCTCATTTGCCGCTTGATGCCTGGAGCAGGTGACCCTGTGTCCCTCCTCCCCTCAGCACTCAGAGGACCACCTTACACACCCCAGACCTCTCCCTGACCCAGGCTGCACGCCACGACCCTGCTGAGCACCCCTAACTCTGTCCTCCTCTCCTCCTGAATGCACCCAGCTCCTCCTGCCCCTGGGCCTTTGCACTGGCCCTGTGTGTCCTGCACCTAACGCATCCCCCGACCCAAGCTAGACCCGAACCTGCTTGAGTGTGTGGGCCATGCCCAGTTGCTCAGTGCACATCAGCGGCCCCTGACCCAGGAGCCCACACCCTTCAAGGTCACTGTGAACACCCCGCCCAGTGAATGTAGTGGGAAGGGACTCCTCTTCCACCAAGCCCTCGGATATAGATGGCAACGGCCATGGCAGCTCCTGCCCAGGGTCCTGGGAGCCAGAGCGGGCTTTCATTCCGAGACGGGTCTCACTGGCCCAGGCAGGGCTTGAACTTGCCATGCTCTTTCCTCAGCCTCCCAGAATGCTGGAGTTACAGGCGCGCAGCCCAAGCCTCCTGTCATTCCTAGAGATAGCGTAACAACTCCACACATGGAATATCTTCTCCTGGGAGCGCCGTCACCTAGGGAGGATGAAGAGGCCCCGGGAGGGCAGGCTTGGCTTCAGGGCAAATCCCACGTTCCTCCACAGAGAGGCCGCGCTATCCCTGAGGGGCCTGGAGGCCTCACCCGCGGACACCGAGGGACGAAGGTTCTGCTGGACCCTCTGCACCTGGTTTCCAAGTCCCCCCGCCAGGGTCCCTGCTAGGCTGAGGGACTCTGCTCCTGGCCTCTCCTTGCGTGTGGGATGCGTCACAGCGGAAGTACAGACACCAAGCAAGATCAGTTCGGGGACAGGTGATGGGGAGACAGGGGAGCCTGGGCGTGGCTGATAGAACCTGGGGTATGAGGCCCCGCCCCTCCAACTCCTGCTCACCCCGCAAAACCCAGCTCCAAGAGCCTTCCTGCGGGCACAGCTGCAAGTCAAGATGAAGCCAGGACCCGAGCAACCCAACCGCAACCTGGGGGCCCCACTGAACGCCCTGATTTGCTGCTGGAGCCTTGGGGGTGACGGCACCTGCTCCTCGGAGACCAAGAGCCCCAGCCTGCGGAGGGCCTGCTAGGGCAGTGGGAGAGTAGCAGCCAGGGGCGGAGCCTGCAGTGGGCGGGGCGGGCCCGGAGTGGGCGGGGCTGGGCGGGCCAGAGCTTCCCAGGTCGGTTCCCAGAGCCAACCCAGGGTTTCAAGATGAAGCCAGGACCCGAGCAACCCAACCGCAACCTGGGGGCCCCACTGAACGCCCTGATTTGCTGCTGGAGCCTTGGGGGTGACGGCACCTGCTCCTCGGAGACCAAGAGCCCCAGCCTGCGGAGGGCCTGCTAGGGCAGTGGGAGAGTAGCAGCCAGGGGCGGAGCCTGCAGTGGGCGGGGCGGGCCCGGAGTGGGCGGGGCTGGGCGGGCCAGAGCTTCCCAGGTCGGTTCCCAGAGCCCAAACCCAGGGTTTAAACACCAGCATCGACCCTGAGCCCCAGTACGGAGGGCCAACGCCCCACTCCCACTGGTCAGCCTTGGTCATCCTAATACTGCCCCAGCCAGAGAGGGAAACCGAGGCCTAGAGCGGGGAAGTGGCCCCCGCGGTCACGCCAAGGCCACAGAGCAGGGACGGCGTCCACCGAGATCAAACTGTGCGGATCCGGGCTTCTCCGGGGCACTGACCCGGGCGTCACAGTGGCGCCGGCCGCGGGCTCCTCTGCTTGGTCTCTCACTGACTTCTGTTCAGGGCCAGCTTGACCTCTGTCACGTTCTCAAACTGAAGTCCCTTCCCATTTCTCCTTACCTTCCAGGAAAAGCTTTTGTCGTGAAAAGATGTTTTGGTTTTTTGGGACAGGGTCTTGCTATGTAGCCCAGGCTGACCCTGAGTTTGAGCGATCCTCCTGCCTCAGCCTCCCAAGTGCTGGGATGCCAGGCGGTAGATGCTTGGCTCAGTTTTAACCCCCAGGGTCACAGCAGGGCCCGCGTGGCCGTGACAAGCCT